ATGCAGGCAATGTCCTTTCATAGCATCTGTCATGGAATCATTTCATTAACATAAATCTGCCTCTTTCTGCAGATTTGTAGGAACAGGATGTATATCAGGGATGTATACAGGATGTATATCAGGGCAGTTCTTATGAACAACTGTAGTGAGAATAAAGCTTGATGGCAAAGGGCTAAATCAAAACCACCTAAGTATCCTTTGACTAGGAGAGTGGATAAAGTGTAAATTTGTCCCTCAAAAGCAGTCTCAGAAGTCAAGCACCATTCCTAGGTTGGCAGTACAGGGATTATCTTGGTTTTCACCCATGACTGTCCTCACAGATCCTTCTCTGGCTACCCCCAGCTCTTCAGAGCAGTGTTTGTTGCTTACTTGTGCCATTTTTCTTCCTTGTTCCCTCAAATACTGTGAAAACCAACTTCCACAACATAACACTTCATCCTTCCTTGCGTCCATCATTGCTACTGGATTTAAATTAGGTGGAGTCAGAGAGATCTTATTAAAAGGGCATGCTCAGATCTGTCACTGTTTTCATTACAAATGCGATGGAAATGACACATTTTGTACACCACAGGCTGCACATAGTCTCATATAAACCCTACTTTTCAGATATTAACATTGGCAACACTTTTTCACCGGTGGAGCTTTTTTTCTGACATCACTTCCAAGGTACCTGCCCCCTCCCAGACAAGTATTATTGTAGATGGCCAGATCTGTGTGGGTGTTAGTGTGAATGCTGCAGCAGAATAGTGGGAAGACTGGCATCCATCTGTCCTTTATTACTGCTGAGGGCCAGTAAGAAAAGTAACTGGTAATTGGAAGGATCTGAGGTATGCTTTCCTTCTGCTTGGTCAGCAAAAGTTATGTTCTTGGCATCAGTGTCCTCAAAGTCATTGGAGCAATGCTGGCTTTTTGCTCTCTCCTGGAAAGAAGGGTTCTAACCCCAAACTAACCTGCAACAAGAGACAGGCTCACTTCTGCAGCACCTCAAGGCACGCCAGAGGCACAGGCTGAGTGCACACCCACAAAGCAGCACGACCCAAAACCAGGGCAGCTCTCCTGGGGGAAGTCTTCCCTTCTTCCCTTTGCTCTGGGGACATTCAGGCTCTTTGACAGCCCCTCTGTATTGGGTTTGTGTGGCCAGGTTTGGAGAGCAGGGAGGCTACAGGGGTGGCTTCTGTGACAAGATGCCAGAAACTTCCTCCATGTCTGGCAGAGGCAATCACAGGCAGCTCCAAGGAAGATCCATCGCTGGCCAAGGCCGAGCCCATTGGCCACACTGGGAGCACCTCTCAGACAAAGCATTCAGGAAAGTAAAGAATACTGGGCAACTGCAGCTGGACAGAGTGAGAACATGTGAGTGCAGCAGCCCTGCAGTGTCCAAGATCAGTGCAGAAGGAGGGGCAGGAGGTGCCAGAGCTGAGATTCCCTGGCAGCTGATAGTTCGGCCCATGGGGAGGCAACTGTGCCCTGCAGCTGACGGAGCGCAGGGGGGAGCAGAGATCCACCTGCAGCAGCTGCAGGACTCCATGCCAGTCAAACTGAGCCCGGACTGAGCTTAGGAAGAGTGGAAGAAGACAGGAATACAGGGAGAGTGTTTTAAGATTTGGGGGTTTTTCCTCATTATCCTACTCTGCTTTGATTGATAATAAATTAAACCAATTTCCCCAAATCAAATCTGTTTTGCCTGAGACGGTAATGACTGAGTGATCTCTCTCTGCCCTTATCTTGATTCATCAGACTTTTGGCAGATTTTCTCAGCCCTGCCCTGCTGGGGAGGGGAGTGACAGAGTGGTTTTATGGGCCACACCTTCACTTCACCTCGTGAGAAGTTTTTAGCTGTTACAAACCATGAATGAGAAACAAGGAACGCAGGAGCTGAGTAGTCCAGCCTGGACAGGGAAAATAAATGTGCAACTGAGGGAGTCATGAGCCTATCTTGCAGGAAAACCTGTAATTCTGAAACTGAAGGTGACAATTTCATTTTGAACATACTTGTGAACATTGTCATGGCAGAAACAGAACATTTACAAGAGCATGGTTGCTCTGCAAGTAATAAAGAGTGCAAAAGTGGTTTTCAGCTTTGAGGTGAAAATGGCTTGAGAAATGCAAAAAGCACTTTTTTTAAGCTGCAAAAAGACAACTACAACTATATTTCACCTTCTATATGCTGTCCTCTCTTCCCTGCTGCCTTTGTAGCACTTTCTAACATGACCATGACCTCAGTGATGGATTGGGAATTCCCACTGCCAACACAGCAAACACCAACAGATCAGTACAAGCCACACAGCCCACGGCAGCCCATGACCAGGGGCATCAGACTGTCACCTTTGCACCCAACAGGTTGAACATTACTAGAGTGGCAGCTAAAGCAGAGTAACAAATTTATCTTGGGAGATGGATTTCATCCAGCCTTTCTCTGCAGTGCTATTCCCCAAATGAACACATGCCCATCTCAGGATTTATTTTTCACCCTGCAAAGCACGTTTTTTCTTTTAGGTGTGTGACCAAAAGGATTGTCACTGCGATTTTGGATGGGCCCCTCTGGACCGCAGGCTGGAAGAGTTTGAAGGCAGTGCTGACAGTGGAGCATCTCCTCCTTTGCAGAGTCAGCACAATTTGGTGGCACATCATACTGCCTGCCTCAGCTTCATTTTTCCCCATCTACACTTTTGGATCACTTTAGGCTTTATTTAGGTATCCCGTTGTCCCTTGCTTTTGGCCATGTCAGGTTTAATAGCGGGGAGGCTGCTGTGAAATCTATATGTCCTCTTCTCTTCCCTTTTATATCATTCCAGTTGTGCCTTTCTTGCCTGTCAGACTACTCTCCCAGCTGCAGATCAATTCAATTAAGCACAGAGGCCAAGCAGCCAGCAAATAGTTCATTAAGAAGGTTTATGAGGCGTTGTTCTGAATTCATCAAAACCCTCTTGGGAAAATTCTCCTCTTCTCTTAACATGGATATGGAGCTGAGCTCCAGTCCTGAGAGGACAGGACATACAGGGATATTCTGCTGCCTTCCTATACATTGGGTGTTTTAAGTCACTCAGCAGTGCTCCACAAACCCGTTGCACACAACAGCTGACATCCTTCCACCTCTTCCTCAACCCTCTGCTCATTCATTTGTCTACTGGCAAAGAGCTTTTAGATCTTTCTGCTGTTTACTTGCTCAGGCAGGAAGAGGCCCCATGGCACTGCAGAATGACAACTGTTTTGGGCAGGTAACAGTCTGTAGATCAAATCAGTCATTCTTCAGTTATCAACCCATGGTGACATTTCACCTCTGTTCCCTTGGGAGGGAACCCAAGTGGTATTTCTTTGATTTCCACTCTATCCCTCACTGAAAAATGTAAACAAATGTTGAAAACAAAAAAACTTTAAAATAGTGTGTGAAGGATAAATTCTCTCTTATCCTCTTATCGTTTTATGCATTTTTTGCAGGTCAAATGGGTTTATAAGCTTAACTGAAAGAATATGGAAATGTGGCTGTAGACCAGGAGAATGTTTAAAATCCCAGACTAGGAAATGAACTGTTCAGGAACACATTTAGAACAGGTATCTCAGTGTGCAAGCTGCAGGTGGAGTTCTGCATGGTGAGAAATGGCAGGAAATGGCCTCTGAAGTGAGGCCAGAGGCAGGTGAGCAGCCACTCAGAGACACACCAGGATCCAATGACTCCAAAGACCAGACTATTGCACGCAGGATGGAAAAACTTTTGCTATTAAAAAAAGAAAAAAAAAGGAAATGAGAAAATGCTTTAAAGTTCTGTTGTGGTCTTCAGGAAGTAGAACCACAGAATCACAAGACGGTTTGGCTTGGAACAGACCTCAAAGATCATCTCATTCCAAATTCCCTGGCATGGGCAGGGACACTTTCCACTAGACCAGTTGCTCCAAGCCCTGACCAACCTGGCCTTGAACACTTCTAGGGACAAGGCAGCCACAGCTTCTCCAGGCATCCTGTACCAAGGCTTCCCCACCCTGACAGCCAAGAATTTCTTCCCAAGATCCCATCTAACCCTGCTCCCTGGTAATGTGAAGCCATTACCCCTTATCCTGTCACTACATGCCCTTGTAAATAGCCTCTCTCCATCTTTCCTGTAGGCTCCCTCGAGGTACTGAAAGGGGCTCTAAGGTTTCCCTGGAGCCTTCTCATCTCCAGGCTGAACACTCCAAATTCCCTCAGCCTTTACTCACAGCAGAGGTGCTCCAACCCTCTTACCATCTCCATGACCTCCTCTAGACCTGCTCCATCAGGTCCATGTCCTTCCTGTGCTGGGACCCCAGAGCTGGATGCAGCTCTGCAGGTGAGTCTCACCTGCGTGGTGTAGAGGGGCAGAATTCCCCCTTCCTTGCTGCCCACAGGGCTTTGGATGCAGCCCAGCACACAGAATCTTCTGGGATCCCAATGCTGCCCGAGTGAGGTGGGAAGAAGTTAATTTCTTCTCATAATGCAGCAATAATTATTTTTCTCTGAAAGATTTAGGTGTCCTGTGGCTGCTATCTCGCTGCGAGTCCTTTTTTTAAAAAAAGTATCTTACATACATAGTTTCTATTTTAACATTATATTATAACCTAAATATATAACCCACTACTTAAGAAAATTAATACAGCATCACTTTGTAACACAACACATATAATATTCATTTTAATATTTGCAAAAAGCCAATCATAAAATACGCATTTTTCACACTTCCCACTGTCAGGGGACAGGGTTAGATGGGATATTGGGCAGCAATTCTTGGCTGTGAGGGTGGCGAGGCAATGGCACAGGTTGCCCAGAGAAGCTGCGACTGCTCAGTCCCTGGAAGTATTCAAGGCCAGGCTGGACAGGGCTTGGAGCAATTTAGTCCTGTGGAGGATGTCCCTTCCCATGCCAGCTTTGAGTCCCCGCCATCCCAGCCCGCTCCGCCTCCCGCGGCTGCTGCACCGCCACTCCCCGCCCTCAGCCTGCGTTACGTCACTGTCGCGCGTCGGCGCGTGACGTCACGGTCGCGCCGTGAGGGCGTTGCCATGGAGGCGGCGGACGAGTGGCTGCTGCAGTCGCTGCGACTGTGAGGGACCCCCGGCCCCCGGCCCCGGCACCGAACCGGGCACCGCCGCCTCACCGCCGCCCTCTCCCCGCAGGTACCGCGACCTGCACACCTTCGAGCTCCAGGCGCCCACCCGCCTCATCGAATGGGCCCGCGGGGACCGTGAGTGCGAGGCGGGGAGCGCTGAGGGGAGGAGAGGCTGGCGGGGTGCGGGGCCCGGGGCTGACCGGAGGAAAGGAGGAGGCCCAGGGACCGGGCGGAGGCCCGTGGGCGGGAGAAGGGGGAAAGGAGGCTCTGGGCATGGGCCAGTCTGGGGTCCCGAAGGGATTCCAGGGTGCGGGACCCCAGAAGTGGGGCTGAGTGGCTGGAGCTGCTCCGGGCTCAGTCTGGGCTCCAGCTCAGGGCCTGGCGCTCCATGGACTGTGCGGTAACTCGGGTTTGTCTCAGGGAGGGTGGGCTGGGCAAGGGGGAAGCCCTCACCGTGTTCCTGGCTCTTCATGCCCACCCCACCAAGGTGTCTGTGTAGCCGGGTATGGAGAGTCCGATGGGAACGAGATCCTGCAGCTGATCCCACCGCCAACGCTGCTGACAAAGGAGACCCAGGTGGGTGTCGCAGCCAGACCTCTCTGATCTCCTTGGCCTGATGTTTTCAGAGGCTAAGGCAGGGCTTGGTGGCCTTCATGAGCTGTTACCTGTTGCTGTGACAAGGACATGACCAGGGATTGAGCAGCTTTGGTTGAAAGGAAAAGCACATAAGTCACCTGTGTGTTGTCCAGTCATGTTATCCTGCAGCTGCTCTGCAGACAGCTTGGGTTGTGGACACTTCATCTCCAGGTATGTGAATGAAAGCATTTCATGGAGAAAGAGAACAGATGAGGACAGCAAGCCAGGTGAAGAAGGGGCTTGCTGAGCAGCTCAGGCCTGGGGGACCACCCTGCAGAGCACTATTGGAATATTAAGACACACCGCAACAGAGCACCAAGGTTGGCCCTTGGGTGGGTGACCTCTGCACTAGAGTAGAAGGTGCTGTTTGGGTAAGTAGAAAGCTCCTGAGCTAGATGTGCACTGAGGACAACAAACACAGGCAGAGCTCTTGGCAACACCTTTCTCCAGGCTTCTGTTCTCTCTGACTATTTTGGAATCCTTCAGTCCTGTATCTCCTGTTGAAAAAGGCAGCGCTGCACAGGGAAGAGCTGTACCAAGCAAGAGTTTGCCTCATGTCTCTGTCATTTTGTGTGATAACTGAGCACAAGTTGTGCACCACTGTGTGAAGAAATGGCTTTGCCTTTGATTTCTAGGGCCTGTGTCCAGAGAGAGATTTCAAGGTCGAATGTGGTGGATTTTCAGAGCGCCCAGTGTACAGCCTGAAATACGTGCCAGACACCAGGTATGACCACCAGCTCCTTCCCAGGGTGTATTGGAAATGGAGAAGGGACTTATCCACTGAGAGCAAGCTCCTTTTCCATGCCTGCTTCCCAACCCAGCTGGTCAATCCTGCCAGCTCTGAGACCAGTGTGAGGCTGGGCCAGTTAGATACCAAGAACTGATGTTGCTTCTCCCTACCCCACTTCTGAGCAGCAGGGCCCTGTTGAGTTTTCCTGCTCTACCTTCCCTTCCTTTGGCATTTGACACTGTTTAGAGCTGCTCAGCAACAGAGTAGGACACTGGTGGCTGGTGCCACTGCTCTGCAGGACCCTGTGTGTGCAGGTTCAGGAGCTTTTGTCCTGCTCTGGATTTAGACCAAACAAATACTGCTGGCTGATCTCTTGTTCTTCCTACACAAGTCCTCATTGACTACTTTGGGCTGTCTGGATCATTCTCAGCCTAGTCCTTCTGGAAAGTGTGATAATTAAATCATGGAATCATTTAGGTAGGAAAAGCCCTCTGAAACCATTGGTTCCAAGCATTCCCCTATCACTGCCAAGCCCACCACTGACACATGTCCCCAAGTGCCACACACAGCTTCTAAATCCCTCCAGTGATGGCAACTCCACTTCTGTCCTGGGCAGCCTGTGCCAAAGCTGGACAACACTTTCAGGGAAGGAATTTTCCCAATGTCCAACCTAAACATCCCTTGGTGCAATTTGAGCCCATTTCCTCTTGTCCTGTCCCTTGTTCCTTGGGAGCACCCAAGTTCCCACCTGGCTGCACCCTCCTGTCAGGGAGCTGTAGAGAGCAAAAAGATGCCCCCTGAGCCTCCTTTTCTTCAGGCTGAGCACCATCTCCAGCTCCCTCAGCCACTACTCAGCAGATCCTCATAAAATATCCTCATAAATGCTGTTGCCTGGGCTGCATGGAGCACACCCTGCATGAGGAGTTCTGGGATTATGGTCCTTCCAGCCACCACTCTGCTCCAAGCAGAGGCAGGAGTCCTGCTGACAGGAGCAGCAGACCAGTTTGTCCCAGGCTGGGGAAAACAAGGCTGTTCTCTGCTCCTGAGGAGACTCTTTTGTGAGATTCTTCTGTTTCCTCAGCTTGCTGGTGACAAGTGGCCCACCCGACAGCTCCCTCCAGGTCTGGCAGGTGTCAGCAGAGGACTCTGGTAAGGCTTTCTGAGCTCAAGTATTTCCCAATGCAGTTGTTGTATCTCACATCTCTAGCTTCCCCTTCTTCCTGTGTGTCAAAAATGAGGAGTGCCACTTCCCTGTCCTGAGTGACCACACTTGTGTGGCACAGGCTGGAGAAGGGTACAAGACAAGGATCCACACCAGTTTTGGTGGTTTGGAGTTAACAGCACAAACCTTGTCAGAGAATTAATATGTTCAGGCCTATCACAGCATCCTTGTACTGATGTAGTTGGCATGCTGTCCCCTTGTAACTCCAATGGTTAGCCCCATCCATTGCCTTTTGGGATGGACTGTGATCCACCTTCTCTCAAAAAGAGAGAGGCTGCTACTGGGAAATACTTGTAAACCACCAGAAAGGAGGTGCAAAAGGAGAAAACTTCTTCATTGAACATAAACATCTCAATTCACAAATTTTCATTCAGTTTGCTCAGCATTTTGTCAGCCATGCTGGATGAGTTGGAAAGGGGTTTTACCCTCAAGAAGGGGTTAGGCATAATTAGATTTCTTATTGGTCTGGCAGGTCAGTTTTACCTTTGTGAGGTATTGTTGTGAAGCAGCTTAATTGGATGGATTACTTGGTTCTCAATGTCTTTTACATCTGTTTTTATCTTTTCCTAATAGATGTTATTAAATCTGTAAGCACCATAGCAACAGAAAATGGCACTGGGCAGTCCTGGGCTAAAATTGACACCATTTCAGCCAGAGCCCCATGGGTCCTTCATGGTTCAAGACTTGACAGAGTCCAAATTACAGAGGTTGAATCAAGGAAAAATGTCTACACAGCAGGTATTCAAGGCAAGTCTAATGTCTTGTTTTTGGAAAGGTGGAGTTTGGGTAAAGCAATGCTAATTGCCTGAGTAGCAAACATTTCACTGAGCAGGTACTTTTGGACATGTGCAAGTGGTTATAAAGATATTTGCCACAAGTATATTGACTTGAGGAAAGAGGTGACAATGGTCAGGTCCATCTCTAGCTGCTTACTACTCACATTACACTGATTTCTCACATTTCTGCTCCAAATCTGGGCACTACCTGAGTCCTGCAGATAGTTTCAGTGTGGAGAACTGGGTTCACAGAGTGAACTGGGACAGCTGTGTGTGCTGTCCCAAACAAGGGAGGTGACAGCCTGGTTACAACAGGTGGTGGGTGCAGGTCTGGTTTCCTTGGGGATCTGGGGACTCTGCTTTCACCTGTGCAGTGAGACTCAGTCCCCACAGAGCTCATTGCTGGGGAGGGAAGAGGGGTGTGTGTGTCCAGTATCACAGCACTGAGGAAAAGGAAGGTCTGTTTGTCACTGTCCCTGTGCCAGAGGGACTCACAGAATCTGGGAGTGGTTTGGCTTGGAAGAGACATTTAAAGCTCATCTCATTCCAACTCCCTGCCATGAGCAGAGACATCTTTCACTAGATGAGGTAGCTCCAAGCCCCAACCATCTTGAAGGCATGAGGCAGCCACAGCTTCTCTGGACAGCCTTGTCAGGGCCTCAGTACTGTAACATACAAGAATTTCTGCCCAGTATCCCATTTAACCCTGCCCCCTGTCAGTGGGAAGCCATACCCCCATGTCCTGTCACTCCAGGCCCTTGTCCAGAGTCCCTCTCCAGTTCTTGTGGAAAGGTGGAGAGGGACTTTGGACAAGGGAAAGCTCGTGGAAAGCTCTGTTAGGCACTGGCAGGGGCTCCTTCTCTTCTCCAGGCTGAACACTCCAAGCTGTCCCAGCCTGTCACTAGGACAGAGGGGCTGTAGCCCTCAGAGCCTCTCCATGGCCTCCTCTGGACTCATTCCAGCAGCTCCACTCTTTCTGATGCTGGAGGCCCTGGAGCTGGACGCATTACTGCTGAGCATCCATCCTGCTTTCTCTCTCAGGCAATACTGCAGCACAGAAATCCTGAAATGCTCCTCACTGGACCTGAGCCCTGCCTCTGTTTTGCAGCTCCCCAAGGCAGCGAGGAGCTGAGCAGCCTGGCCTTCCTGGACTGCAACCTGCTGCTGCTGTGCAGTGCCACGGGCCGGCTGTGCCTGGCCGACACGCGGCAGCCGCAGGGCCTCACGGAGGCCGTGCCAGCGCCCTCGGTGCCCAGCAGTGAGCACTGGTGCATGGGCACCCCGCATGCAGCCCAGGGCTCCCAGCCCAGCTCCCAGCCCGTGGCTCGCCTCTCGAGCAGGGGGCTGCTGGCCCTGACAGACCTCAGGAAAACCTCGGAGTTCTTGGCTGTGGCAAAGGCCAGAGTCCCCTCTCCCGGCTCAGGTGCGGAGTTCCTGTGCGTCTCCTGGGCTCCTGCTCTGGAAGGCTACCTTGCCGTTTCAGGTAGGTGCTTAGGGCAGAGATCTCCTTTTCTGGGTGCTTTTTTGATTTGTATTTTTGTGAAGGCCAGTTCACTTCACCTAAAACCCCCCAGTGACAGGGTGGCTTTTCAGTGCTGCCTCTGGAGCGAGCAGAGATGCCAGGTAATTGTCCTCTGCAGCTGCCTCTTTCCAGCAACTCCAGAAGGGGCCTGGGTGGGTTCTGGAAGATGCCTGCTGCCCTTCTGTGAGATGAAAGGCCCCAAGCTGACCACAAGCACTGTGTGATAGTGCCAGTCACAGCCTGGCTGCAGGCTACAGCATTGATAATTCCAGCTGGGCAGCAAGGCTGCCTCTTGACCAGAGCCTTGCACGTTCACACCCATGAGTCCAGAAACTTTGGGGATCTGGTCTGGGCTCTCCACAGCAGCTGTTTCTTTGAGACACTCTCCTCAGAGGCAGAGCTGCTCTCTTCTCACAGGTTTCTAGTCTGGGCCATTTTTCCTTGCTCCTGCTGGGAGGTAATCCTGAGCCCAGCTGGACTAGACCAAAGCAGTTAATTTCTGCATGCTCTATTGCTTCTTTATCCTTTTAATTCCCTTTTATCCAAGGTTTTGATGGCACCGTGCATGTGTATGACACACAGAGCTGGGACAGCTCTGGCAGGGAAGCAGAGCCCATCTTCGTTCACAAAGGCCACATATTTGGTGGAGCAGGTGGCAGCAGGGACCCTCCCCTGGTCACTGTGCACACGTGGCATCTGCAGAAACCCAGAACTTTGTTGTCAGCAGCGAGTGATGGTTCCTTGCACGTCTGGGACTGGGTTCAGCCCTGTGGGACGTGTGGGTAGGTGGTGTTTTGGTGAGATGGGGCATTTCCTGCCTCTGCTGTAGTTTGTGTGGGCTGCAGTGTGTGTGTGTTTGCCTGCAGATACTGTTTGGAGACTGTTGCAGTGAGCAGAACAACTGTAAATTTTCTATTTTAATAATAGTAAAAATTTTTGCCTGTGTTATTTGTTCTCCTGTGTACCAGCCTTCAGATGAGAGCTGTGCTTGTGGTTCTGCCTGTGTTTCTGCTGCTGGCAGAAAACATCCTGCTCTTGTTTGATCATAGGCTTGTGTCATGTCTGCAGCAAGGGAGAGGAGCAAAAAGGAGAGACTTGACAAAGGCCTGGGGGACAGGACAAGGGGGAGTGGCTTCACAGTGCCAGAGGGCAGGGTTAGATGGGATATTGGAAGAAATTCTGCCCTGTGAGGGTGGGGAGGCCCTGGCCCGGGTTGCCCACAGAAGCTGCTGCTGCCTCATCCCTGGATGTGCCCAAGGCCAGGCTGGATGGATCTTTCAGCAACCTGGTCTACTGGAAGGTGTCCCTGCCCGTGGCAGGGAGTTGGAACTGGATGAGCTTTGGGGTCCCTTCCAAACCAAACCATTCTCCAATTTTATGAAAAAAAACCCAGAATTTGGGGAAACAGGCTCTTCTGTGGGATATTTACCCACTGGATTCCAGGCCCAGAGCACCAAGTGGAAGCTGCACCCCCCGAGGGCTGTTGACATTTATCACGTGCTCACATGTCTCGAGCAGTGACCTCCGCTCAGGAAGTTTCAGTGTGAGCACTTGTGTTCCTGCTTGCAGCCTGCAAAAGGAACAGGAACAATCTTTCCTGCCACAGCCTACTGCAAACTCTGGCCCTCCCCCTCTAAATCCTGAGAGCACCTGGTCTGAGACAAGGCATTGGTGTCCTTTGGCTCTTTTCCCACCAACAGCACGTTTAGATTTGATGAAACTGATGTGATTTCCTGAGCTGCATTGCAGCTGGTACAACACTCACACTTTTACCAAGGTGTTAATTGGGAGGAACAACCTGCCTGCATAAAGGCTCCCTTCTGCTTGGGTGTCACTGAGGTGAGGAGGGGTTGAAGACAGGTGAGATGGGGGTGAAATCTGTACTTCAAGAGCACCTGAGGAAACCTTACACTGGGAATGTGCTGTACTGACTCATTCTGTGCCATGGCAACAGTTGTCTGCCTGGCAGCTGAGCTGGGAACCTGCCTCATTTTTCTCCCAGGACAAGCCATATGAGCATTTCTGCTTGTCCCAAAACTCTGCCTGGCAGCATGTGAAGCAGGGGCAACGTGTCCTGCCCAAGGCTGGGGATGGCAATGTTTTCTCAGTTCCTAAAGGCATGGATCTCTGTCACCAGCAATCAACAAAAGGAAAAGCCTGTTTGAGTCCTAGAGGAGCTGAGCTCTCCTGCAGGAGTGCCTGAGCATCCTTTGTGCTTCCAGGGGTCCACAGCAAAACCAATGCAGTTGAGCCAGAGCTGAACTGGGGGAAATGGGTTCTGACCAAGAGCCTGGGAGCATTTCTGCCCCATGTGGGCAGCAGGGAGGGCTCCTGGCTCTCGAGTCTCTCCATCTGCTCTTGAGTCAGTTCCTTCCGGCTCTGGTAGAGCCCAGCGTGCCCTTCCCCAGCACCAAGACCTGCAGGGTTCTGTGTTTAGCAGATGGGGCCTTTCTGCCCCATGGCTGGGACCCCTGGCAGCCCCAGGAAGGGCAGCCTGTGGTACACAGACATGAAAGGCTCCCAGAGAGGGATCTTGGAGCTCAATGGGTTTTCTTCAAGCACCCTTGGGAGCAGGCAATTTGGCAGAGGTGCACTCAGATTGTGCAGCTCCTCCTTCCTGGGGGAAACACCCACAGAGGGAGGGTCTCACCTTGGAGAGGTGAGCTCTGAGGCAGAGACCACTGGAGCCTTCCCAGGACCCCAGCTACCTCTTCCTGACTGCCTCCTTTGCTGGGACATGTGGAGCAGCTGACCCCCTCCCTCATCACAGTGATGCAGAGAGTGCAACAAGGACAGGGAACTGAATTTGCTTGGCTTTCAAAATGGGGCTTAAGCAATAGCTCAGTTTGTACCCATCTAAACTTCCCTTTTCTTTCCTAAAATAACTTAAGCCTTCTTGTCCAGCTTGAAGCAGATTTGACAGGGGACTGGAGATATAAAAAATACTAAGTACTCACAGATGCTGTGAGAAGGGATTATGCACATAGGAGTGATCTGGAGAGTTGTGCTGGGCAGGAGGGACATTGCTCTCAGGAATGCACCACATGGAGTCTCTGGCAATGTCCGTGTGCAATCAGAGTCTGGTTGTGTGACTGTGGAGACTTTGGCTTTGCTGGAGCCAGATTTGTCTTTGGCAGGGAAGGTTGGGACAGCCTCTGGCACAAATGCCAACACCCATGAAGTGAATCAACTTAGGACAGTCTCTTCCTCCCCATAGCATCAGCATGGCAAGGGCAGCTCAAGCTGCATGGGACATGAATGTGTCCAACCTTTGCTCTCCCTGGGACCATGGAAAGGTCCTCCAGAAGGCCTGTCTTCACTGAGGCCACAGATTTTTAACCCCTGGGCAAGGTAACACAGCTGGAGACAGAATCCTGGAATCATTCATGTTGGAAAAGCTCTTTAAGATCATGGAGTCCTATCTTTACCCACACACAGCCAAGTCTATCACTAAATCATGTATGTTTTCAATTGCCACATCTACACATCTGTTAAATCCCTTCAGGGATGGGGACTCCACCACTGCCCTGGGCAGCCTGTCCCAAGGCTGAACAATCCTTTCAGGGAAGGAATTTTCCCTAATATCCAATCTAAACCTCCTCTGGCACAACTTGAGGCGGGGTTTCTCCTTCCTTGGCTGTGAGGGGACAAACCACAGCCCTTCCATGAGGGACTCTCCAAATTCAGGTCCAGAAATGGAGGTGTCACTTGGCTCATTCCCCAGTACTGGCTCCTGCTGCTCTCAAAGGGGATGAGAAGCTCCCTGCACCATTAACACATGTTTGGATGTGGCTCCTGGAGATATGGTTTACGTGGTCAGTGGTTTTATGTGGTCTGTGGAGATATGGTCCCAGCCTTGGCAGGGCTGGGAACCACTGGACTCTATGATCCTAGAGGGTTTTTCCAACCTCCATGATTGTGTGATCATTAAAACAATCAGCTCTGAGCAGTTCCTCAGCAGGACACAGACTGGACATGGCTTGTTTAACAAGCAGGTTGTTAGTGCCCTGTGCTCATCAAGTACTGCGTGACCATGCATTTCACTTCCAAAATAATGCCCAGTCCCTGCTGTGGGATACAGAATCCTTCTTCTCCTCCTTGGCTCCTCTGCATGCACACCAGGGAGGCTGTCATCAGTGGCATGGAGTGGCATGAGCAGGGCAGGTAGCTGCTGCTCCCTGATCCTTGTGCAGGAGGGAAAAAATGAGGATGGTGAGGCCCTGGCACAGGTTGCCCAGAGAAGCTGCCCCATCTCTAGAAGTATTCATGGCTAGGTTCACTGGATCTTTCAGCAACCTGCTCTACTGGAAGGTGTCCCTGCCCATGGCAGGGAGGATGGAACTGGATAAGCTTCAAGGTCCCTCCCAACTTAAACCATTCTATGGTTCTGTGACTTGCTGCCTGTGCCAGTTCCCCCATCCTTAGCCAAGAAAAGTGTCCAGGCATTGGGACTGTGTTTTACTGTTTCTTCTTTTTTTCTATTTTTTTTTCTGAGTTTAATAAACTAGAATAATTTATTTGACAGAACACAGAAACATCACAGACAGGGTGGAGAAACCAAAGCAGCAGGTATCAATGATCAGTACAAAGGAACCACTTTACAAAAAGAAGTACCACGCTGCCCATCAGCTTTACCCAAAAATTACGGGGGGAGAGGGGTGGGCTCAGCTCAGCACCCCACAAACAGGGTGGGGGGGATGGAGCTATCCCTACAAAATGCTCTCAGATAACAACGCTGACTGCAACAGCACAATAAATAGTGGGAATGGCCTCTCAGTGAATGGTGGGGGACCAGAGACCCTTGGAGGGGAGAGGAGGTCCAAGCACCACCAATCTGGGAGGTACAAGCATCTGTTAAAACACTGATTAGGGTGGCAAAAGCCCTGATTCTCCCCTACCCCCAAACAGGTGCTGGATCCCATGCAGGCAGAGCGAAACATCAACCAGGGGGGCTTTGCAGCTTGGCAGGACAAAAGTATCCCTGGCAACATCCCGCTGGGGGACAAGGCTGATCTGCCACAACACTGCCATGGCTGTGAAGAGGCATTTGAGGCCTCTCCAGAGCAAGCAGTGTGTGGCAGATGGCACAGACCCACAGGGTCCCCTCTGCTGCCTTAACATGGCATCAGCTCCCAGCTCTGAACTGGTTTCCTGCAGGGAGATTATACTGGTGTGAAAACAGATGCAGCTGGGGTTGGAGGACCCCTGGGGTTGGCCACTTTGGGGGGACTTGGGGGAAGAAAAGGGCAGGTGCTGCCCACCCCCTTTGTTTGGAGCAGCTGGGGCAGGGGCCAAAGTCAAAGCCAGGCTCGTGCATCCCAGGGAGGGAACACATGCAGCAGGGCCGGACAGAGGGGGATTGGCCATGGGTGAAAGGAAGGGACACCAAAGTGCACAGGTGCCTTTTCCCATGAGAAGGCTGCCTAAAAAAAACACCCCCCCCCAATTCTGCTGCACCCTCCCTCCCTGTAGCAAACTGCTGTTGAGACTGGGCTTATATAAAACTCATAAAAGGGGCATCTCATAGTAAAGGGCTCTAGTGAGTGGCAGGAGGCTGGACAGGGACGGAGTTATAGTGAGCCCCAGTGCCTCCAGCACCTCCCTGGCCGTGCCCTGCACAGGAAACAGCAGCTCTGGCAGCTGGATGAAGAGACAACATGGCACAGCTAGACGGTTATAGGTCCTGTGGCCATCGGGCAATTGGTAGGCTCCCAGTACAGGTAGAAAACAAAATTAATTAATTATAGAAAAGAGAAGCAGCCTAATGTAGGGGTGTCCCTGGGGCAGGGTGGCGAGCTGGGGGGGCTCGCTTATCTGTCGTTGAGCTGTGGGGAATTTGTCCGCTCCTCCTCATCCTCCTTGTCATCCTTCATGCCTTTCAGTCGCTGGCGGGCGAAGTCTTCAAACACAATGTCATCATCGCTAGTGGGGACACAAGGGAAGTGGGTTTAGGTGGGG